GCATAAAAGATTCATGCTAAATGTCAGTGTTAACAGACACTCGGGAAGTTTAAATTTTGATAAACTGCTGCGCTAGAAGTCTGATTGTCTAGCCGGTGAAAGTACAATGATGACTCAACTGGCAAAAGCCTTGAAAGATTTAAAACAATTTTAAATTATGCATACTGTACATCCGTACTCCTCCCAGTTCATTTGGAGTACTTTATCATCTATCACAAAATCATCTTTATTTTTCATCACTTTCATATTAACATTAACGACTAAGCTCATTATGTACTCTAAGCTATTAAGCTACAGTATACAGTAAATTGTCTCTAATAAGTGAGAATTGCCACACTGTGAGCTTTCGGCCATGATGATTGTGAATTTCTGCTTGCTTGCTCAAGGAAGCAAGTTTGAAAGCCATGATGCTTCACTGATTATCTTATCGACCTCCTATCCTCCGAGCTCTGCCCCTGTTTTCTAAAAACAGAAAAGTAAAGGGAAACTGCCCAGAAGCACTAGCCCTGAAGGATAAGGGTGAAAATCCCACGGTGCAATTTTGCCATACAAAAATATGCTGACTACATAAAAAAAAGAACTGTTAATGCACAGGTACCATTTGTCAAATCTACACAAAGCACTTCCAGAATAATGTTTTGTATGTTAATTATTTATACAATGTAAGGTCATCTTAAATAAAAATGGTTATTGGTTTTATCTTCAAGCAGAGATAATAGTTCTACATATCAAGTAATCAATTAATCTAACTCTTTATGCACAAATTGCCTTATTCCTGCATTTTTATGGAGTTCCTTGGTTTATCTCACTTATACTGTACTGTCTTTTGTTACACATCTATTTACGTAGTTTCTCTTTGACACGGGATAGCTATTAGGTTTGGTGGTCTCAAAGTTGGGCTTAGATTTCTCTGCTTCCCATGCAACAGAGTAACTAGCCTAATTAGTCCTGGTAAATAGCCAAGAACCTCTCCACACACAGTATTATCATACAGAGCTCTCTCACCTCTGTCCTTAACTGTTTGTGCTGTGGACTTGAAGTGTAAAAAGGACTGAATACATTGATACATTTTGGAGGACAATTTATTAAGTGTTCATCTTCCCCTTTTTGGTATGAAGACTCTAGTGGAGAGTTGAATTAATGTTTGGACATTCCAATCTGGTACTGTAGGTACAAAATATACTGTATCACACAAAAAAAAATATGACAATACTTTTATTTTTTATTTACAGTATCGAATGCTACAAGCAAGGCAGTGTTCTGTGTTTCTTGAGGTCTGGTTGCCTGTTGGTTTGATTTAGTTGTTTAAGAATGTTGTTCCTTTCTCGACCTGGAGTCAGACTTTCACAAACCAAGAATTTTATTTTTTATTCAATCTGTGTGAACACAGGATGGATTTATTTCCTATTGCTAAAATCTAGGACTTTAGGTTTTGTCTAGGTAAGAGATTCCCCTGCAGTTTTTTTCCCTTTCTTTTTTTTTCTAGTGAATAAATTAACTTCTAGGTAGATTTTTCAGGATAACGTGGAAACATACTGTCGTTTTTGTTTTTATTTGTCGTACAATAAGCGATCATCTAATTTTATTTAGTTAATGTGGAGTGGGTTTTCTGTTTTGGATTTTGTGCTGTTTCTAGTGCTTCCATTTATCAGTGCGCGATGTCATGTCATGTCATTTGCCAAACCGCTTTATACCATACGGTGTTGTGGGAAGCCGGAGCCTACCTGGCAAGCAACAAGCGCAAGGCAGGGTACACCCTGGACAGGACGCCAGTCCATCGCAGGGCAAGTGTGAGCCAATCATACATCGGGGCAATTTGGAGGCCGCAGTAAAGGCTGACACCGGACACCGGGATAACTCCCTACTTATTGAGAAATACCCGGGATCTTTAATGACCACTGAGAGTCAGGACCTTAGTTTAACATCTCATCTGAAAGATGGCGCCCAATACAGTTGTAACGACACAGTCCGACGAAGTGGGGGAACACTGGGGAAACGTCATGCAGGAAAACAGGGCTGAAGACAAGGGGGCGTGTCCAAGGTGCGCTGGTGCACGGGGGAGGTGTGGCCGAGGCGAACAATCC